GAGATTTGTGGCCTGCAGTAAATTGCAATTTTATGTTTGTACAAATCTAGCATTGATACTTGTATGCAGTTGTAGTGGTGACCTGCTACTGAYTGTAGTACCAGTTATTATAGTAATTAAATTAAGATGTTTTGCTTTTGAGTTGACAAGTTTGAAACAAGCGATGACCTTTGTTTACTACAGTTATATGCATGGTCATGCATGATTTATAGTGCAATTAGATTTGAAATAATGGCACTCAGAAATTTTGAAAAATATATAGAATTTCAATTTTATTAATTTTATTCGCATTTTATGGTCATTCAAGACTAGTTTCCATTTAAAATCGAAAGCATTACGCATTCTCTCTTTACAAATGTTACTCATACGCACTGATACTCCCACCAAGTTTGTAAATTACTTGATAAATTTAGGGCTGTACAAGAAGTATATAGCTCTGTTTGCTCAAAATTTACTCTAAATTCAAAATAATTTCCGTTTACAGATATGTTAAAGAACAACACTTAAATAAAAAGTATAATTTTACTGTCTCTGATAATTCTGTTYTTACAAGTTTCACATTTGCTTTGCTAACTTTTCCTTTAGCAAAACAAACAGCTGATTTGCATTTCAAAGAGCATGCCATAAACAAGTTACTGAAACAAAATATTTCAATTTTAGCCATTGACTTTGTGCGCCAGAGCAGCAAAAAAGAGAACTTAGCAGAAAAGCAAGACAAAAAAGGAAATAATAAGAAAACTCGTGAATAAAAGGAAAGGTAAGACCTTCAAAGAAAATGGTATAAAGTGGTGAAAGGAGAGGCAGTTTAGAAAATAGTTAAGTTTACCTTTCAGTTTGAGTTTGGTTTTAATTTTGAGTTTAAGTTTATGTTTATTTTAAGTTTCAGTTTAAGTTTAAGTTAAGTTAAATTCCATTTCAAGTTTTAGTTTATGTTTAAGTTTAAGTTAAGTTCCAGTTTTAAATTTAAGTTTCAGTTTAAATTTAAATTTAAGTCTAAGCCTAAGTCTAAGTCTAAGTTTAAATTTAAGTTTAAGTTTAATTTTTAAATTTAAGTTCTGGTTTCAGTTTCGGTTGCACCTGAACTCAAAATAACATCCAAAAGTAAACTTATTTCCTCATACTCATATGTATACTTATATTTCCTTATACTTAAACTTGAATTTGAACTTGAATTAACACTTAAATTTAAACTTAAGTTTAAACTTAAAGGTTTAGACCTAGACTTATACTTAAACCTAAATTTAAGTTAAAAACGAGAAAAGCTTCAACATKTTTGTACATTTTTTGTAAAGTTTTAGAATTTCGAATTATAAATTATAAAAAGTCTAAGTTTAAATTAACCTTACAATTTTAGCAATTTATTGCCACCAACTCCCAACAACATCACTCCAAGTATTGCTTCATCGCAACCCGCTTTTACAGCGCTATTCACCACACATTCAAAATTCTTAATGCTTTTCTATTTCATCATCATTTCATTGTCTCTTTACACTCAATTCAATTTCCTCATTTGCTTGGCAATTTCTCAGCTCAAACAACGCTGCAGCACACCGCTCGCCTTGCATGAAATTGTTGCTAATATATGTAAAGTCATATTCCCATAAAATAACGCAAAATTGTTGAACAACAAAAACACGCAAAGGAAGTCAGGGAAAAGCGATAAACATTTACGAAAAGTCATGCATTCATTGACTTGCATAAATGTCTTTGCTCGTTTAACGCATCGATTGACATCACAAAGATAAGTGTATTCATAATCACACATGGGACATGCCACATGCTACAATTGGCGCACATATTGCAGGTCATAACTTTTTATCTTGCAGAACAGAAATTTAAAAACCAAATTTTAATGGATGCGTTTCTGTACCCCTGTGCATCMAGGTGTGTGTTTGCGGATTTTGCGGAAGTGCTTAGCTTGCGTCAATAACCTTCAKAGACGATTGCAGAGCACTAATTTAGGGTTCGGTGAGAGTAACTTCTTGCTTTTGTTACCAGGTTTTAGTTTCGTTACAAAAGTAGGGCGTAAAGTTATAAAAATAGACTGYATTATAAATGTATTATTTATATAAGAGGTTTTAGATAGTTTTTSTCAACTCTTTTTCTCTCGTAGATGAGTGAATATTTCAGAGTAATCGTTGCTCAATAAATGACGAGTTGTTTCAATTAAGCCATGTCAGTTTTTGAGATATCGCTGTGCAATTTCGCACATACTATTTTCTCTACAAGATGCTGCTGATTTGGCAGAATCGGCGATGACGGACTACTATAGCCTATAGCTGCCATACAAACTGCACGATCACAGTCGAGTCCTTGTATGGAGAACTTTTTTTTGACAAGATATCCTCCCGAAATTTGGTACAGATAATTTTCGAAGGCAGCGCTACAAACTCCGAAGAAACTATTCAGATCGGTTAACTATAGCATATATCTACATACAAACCAATACAAATGAAGCCAAAATGAAATACGTTTTAAACTTTTTAATGCCATAAAAAATACACTTGAGCAGGGTTTTATAGCTTTGATTCCACGAAAGTTAACGTTTTTTCTTATTTTTAATTTTTTTTTCAAATATTTAGCTCAATTGCAAATGTAGACAGACTGCTGCTAACAAACTTTTCAATGTACGTGCCGCATTAGTAACATGAACACTTCAAAGCGTCTAATTCCACACAGAAATACACAATTTAATTGACAACAGGTACGTGCCTTCAGTTTCTAAGCAATTAAATAACTTTCAAAGCTTTTTAGAAGCTGCTGTCTGCAAACTTTTCAGCACAATTATGAGCCAAATATGTTTGGATATAATATAGAAAGAAAACAGCAGCATTTGGTTAGGCTTAGGAGATTGCCAGACAGTCCACTAAGGTTTCAAAAGCTAAAAAAAGTAAAAGGAAGCATATCTCTAACAAGAAGAGGCAGAACTGAGTTACAGCATGTGAACCCAACCACTTGTCTGTGGCCTCAAACAATTTATGTTGGTCTAGCAGCAGTACGTACTATATACATATATACTTGTATATATACTTACATATGTTTGACAGGTATGGCAGAAGTTTGTCACATTTCTATTGTGCTGAATCGGAAATTTACTCACAGTCATTTACAATTTACTGACACTCATTTATTAGTTATGTGGCTTTGCACATATGTATGTGCTCATATGCCGGCCGCACGAATCGTTCGTGCTGTCGTGCTGTCCATATATTACGAAAGTTTTTTGACAAATTGACACTTAACTGTTAACTACWGAATGCTACTGTGTCAATTTAGTTCATTCATCGAAATGTGGGTAATTACAGCAATTACATCTGTTGTTGATGTTGAAAAGTGATTCTGATATGTAGTCTACTAATAGATTTTATGGCATACAATTGATGAAGCAGTAGGAGTTCCCAATTATGTTCATTAATATAGATTAACACGATTAGATATTTAAAGMAGTTAGACAATTATTAGCTGCTATGGAATAAGTGAATAAGCTGGTTCTGTTATCTAGSAAGCCTACGTGACGTATGAGTAATGTGCGAGTTCGCAAGAGAGGCAGAAATTATCTCGTTACTCTTTTGTGATGGAATTTCTTAGAAGTGCTGATATATGAAAAAATCAATAACTAAACATTTTATTTTGTTGTAAATATATTTAATTTCTTTTTATTCTTTGGCTAGTTTGCCAATTTATTTTGTTAAAGGATTAAACACATATATATATAAGGAAAATAATTTAGTATTGTTGAAAAAATTATAATGTTAGATTAATAAAGAAAATAATAAGTAAAACAAAACAAAAAAAAATKTATAGAATACCCTTTACAAATGAAAACATTCTATACAAGAAATTGATTTTGTTCGGTCGGTTTGTATGGCAGCTATATGTTATAGTCATCCCATATAAACAATCTGTCGGCATGTTATAGCAAATCTTTAGATATTCGTCAATGAAAAATTTCGAGGTGAAACTTTATCAAATAAAAAAGTTTCYCATATAAAAATTTGATTTCGATCGTTCAYTTTGTATGGAAGRTATGTGYTATAGATATCCGATCTGCATAATTTCTTCGTAGATTATATATTAATTGCCTTAGATATTACACTATGCAAAATTTCATGAAGAGATCTGGTCAAATGAAAAAGTTTTCCGTAATAAGGTATTGAATATTGTCAAAAAGTTTGTATGGCTGTTATATACTACAGTAGAGAGAAAAAGATGSGTGAAATTTTTCAGATCGATATCTCAAAAAGTTTGCGTATRTACAGACTGAAAAACACACGRAAATCTCTGCTTGGTAGAACCACCCTACATTAGCTGTTACGCCATGACGTATACGCAACCTACAACCACAGCTGTCATTCATGACTCATTAGCCAAGACGATTATTCAGAGCCACATACATTTATATGTACTACGWAGCTATGTGGTTAATCGTCATATTCACCAAAATAGTAGAAAAACTGCTTAAATTATAAATATTTTCTATTTAAGATTTGACTAAAAATAGCAAAATTGTGGCTTTTAATAAATAATATAGTAAAAATACTACGAATTACTAAAAATAGAGAGTTTCAACTTTCGCTTGGATTTTTTTTGCCTACACTTGGCTGTAGTGCGTGAGAAATACAACTTTGATTATCTTTTATTAATATTTTATGGTAAATAAATAGCATTTTTCACATTTTGATTGAACGTAAAATTCTTTGGTCAACAGAAATGTTATGGCACACCTCAAGTAATAACTAAATATTTTGTTTTTGTAATAATCCACAAATAAATCGAGCTTCAAACACTTTACATAGGCACGCCAACTCCTTGACAGCCTTAAAATGCATATTTCAAAGCACTGTTTACCTTTACCAAGCCACTATATTATTACAACCTTCTATTGACGCCCTCAAGACCGCACACATTCATGCCAATTGTCACTTGTTGGCAACTCAACTCATTCACACATTTCACTGCATTCTTGTAAAATATTTCTTTGTAGCAAAAGAATGACTCACTTCTTTCGGTCTTTGACATGCTCATCGAGCGTTCCGTTTTGCGCCAATGCCGGTACCACGTTTTCGATTGGAAGAACTGCAATAGACTGGAAGTGGTGCTGCGTCCACCGTCGTTGCTTTGTTGCAACAGCTGCTGTTGCTGCTGCAGCTTACTTGTTGTTGTGGTTGTCGTTTTTGACGTCGTCGTGGTTTTCGTATAAACGGTCATGGTCTCCATACGTTTGGCGACACGTTCGATTTCGGACGAGCGACACGACGAGGTGTCCTCTAGCGAGGAGCTGCGCCGTTTCGCGCCACGACCCAAACACACACAGCTACGCAGCATTTTTTTTTTGGGCTAGTGTGGGTGGCGGTGTGTGTGCGGGCGGTGTGCGTAGGTGTACTGCTTATCGTTTTTATCTTTAATTATTTKATGTGCTTTTGTTTTGCGCGCAATATAAGCGGGAATATATGTATTTTTATTTTTATTTTTGGAAACAACTGGGCGCATATGTTTCAGTATGTGTTTACGCATTTATACAACGTAGTCGATCGAGTGTTCTTTTAATTGTTTTTGTTGTGTAATTTTCTTGTAATKCCAGTTTCTTTACAACTTTTTTGGTTTCTCCGCGCGCAAGTGCCACGCAGTTGTTCCATTTTTAAGCACTTTGAGTGACATTTGGGGGTGCGAAGCTTTGACGRCCACATGTACAAACAGGTAGGTGCTCTTGTGGGCCACTATGGCGCTTTGCCACAAGCGAGCCGTTGACCGGTTTTTTTATATTACTGCGTAAACATTTTTAGCGTGGGCTTTTCACACTTACATTTATTATTTAATTTTTTATTATTTTCTCGATTGCATGTTTGCTTTCTTTTGTTTATTTTTTTCAAAAATGCTGTTGTTTAACACCAATATGATCAAATTTATTACATGCTGTATGGAAGTAAACTTCAGCGAC